AGACCTGGAAGAGCAGCCTGACCTCTCTTGCACAATTTTCTGCACACATGGCTGATTTTGCAAAGCATTTTTGGTATCCAGCTCAGTATCCAGGAATTCTGGTAAAGTGTGGGTCACGTCTACTTGCACAATTCCTTCCCCTTTCCTAAACGTTTTGTTCTCTGCGATCTCTGTGATTTTTTAGAAGACATGGTAGTTCCTTATGTTTCTTCTGTTGTGGCTTCGTGACGCTTTTGCATGTTTTGCAGTTGTCTGTAACCAGAACAGCCTTCTTTCTCCCTGTGAACCTTGCACCCTCCTCCTACCTTCCTCTCAGTGGCCGTTGTCTCCTTCAAGTAGGAGGCTCGACCTCTTCAGTAGAAGATGTTCCTTTAAATCTTGGCCTGCTGGATATCATAGAAAGACTGGTTCTTCTCTGTGGCACAGGAAAGGTGCAAGTTAAAGATGTTTTCTTCTTCCTGATACACAGGAACATTTGTGAAGATATTTGCATTGGCAGCTGCTGCAAGTAGACATAGTGCAGCAATTTGCTTAAATCCATCTTTGAGTTGTTCAGTGCCATTACCGGTAGTCAGTGTAAAGTTTAGTATTCTTAAAATATCTGTGTGTTTTTTATATCAATATACTTTGCTATCCAGCTAGCATGACGAGTACTTCAGTAAACTACTTGAACAAACATATCTGAAGGCAAGGTTGTTAACGGGGACAAATGCCGGCTTGGTTTTGAAGAGGTTTTCTCAATGCACTAACGGTATGCCTCATTTCAGTGAACTGTCCCGCAGTCACTTGGCTCTTCAGGAGTTTTCTTTGATAGGAAGTGATGGCTTCATGTTCTTGGTGACAACTGAATGCGGTAAGTGAGCGTGCTCACGGAGCAAGAGCAAAGTGTTTGTGTCGGTGGTGGAGGCTATTCACAGGAGATAAATCAGTGGACAGAAAGGTCAGACAGCCTTTAATAAGCAAACTTTGATTCCTTCTCATTTTGTGAACAAAGCTGTACATACCTATCGTTCCTCAGCTGGTTACACCTTCCTCGAGCGAGTAATCCTCATTTACTGCAGGTCTGGCTTTGCCTATGACTCGTGAGATTGCTCAGTTGAGAGAGCTACGCCTGTGAATGTCAGAGAGAAACAGCTATTGTTAGCTTACTGTGGGTCTCGGCCTAAAGCCAAGGAAGGAGGATTTGTGTCTTTTTTCAAAAATCATCTTGATATGGAGAGTGGCAGGGTGTTTGGGTTTTTGTTTGCTTTTTGTTTGTTTTTTTGAAAAAGAAAATTCATCTCCACGTTTTTTGTGTCTGAAAGACAGGTCTTTGCATATAATTCAGAAAAAGTCAGTCTTCACCTCAGTGTTTTTTGAATGAAATATTATTGCAGCCTCTCTGTTCAGTTTCGGACACAACTAAGTAATCTGAGAGCCAGATCTTATCCATTATTTCCCACACATCCCAACATAGATGTCAAACCTTCATTCCAACACCATGCATGCTAAGTCAGGTAACACCGTCACTGCTTCTAACTGCTGATGGATTCTTGCCTATCAACAGTTTGGTCCAGTCCTTAAAAAATAGCTTCCTTCTTTGGGTGTGGTTTTCCTTATACAGCTGGTGATGAGTTTGTTTCTGGGTACCAGACTGCAGTCACTTACTGATCAAATTAGTTCCTGGGTGAAACCTACTAGTTTTCCAGAAGATCACCAAGTACATGTCTTGGTACTTTTTGCTTAGGAAAGGAAATCCGTCAGTAGTTCAGGTTAACTAGTTAAAAACTGCAGAAACAGCAAAGACTCTTTAGGTGTCCAAAGCAATTAGATATTTTGAAATGTTGCTGTTGGATTGTCCACTTAGACAGCTCCGACTGGCCTAGGGTCTGAGCACCTCAAAAACAATCCAGATCGTATGAGGTGTTGTGACATCTGTCTTCCACCGCTTAATTCACTGCTGGGATGATAAAGTGATTTACTGGAGGTCAAACAAGACCTGAACCTGGTAGCTATCCCGCATGTTGGCCACAAGATTTCCCCTTTAAATGCATCCTTAGCCCTCTCATTTCTAACCAGTGTGATTTATGTTCAGAAATGATTAAAGGCACATGGAGAAAATGCAAAGAGAGAGTTGCAAATGAAACTTTCAAATGTAATTTCCATAGGCACAGAGTGTGGCTCCCGTTGGTATCTGTCTGCATTGCTTTCATACAGTACCTGCCTCCTGTGGATCTGGCTCCTCTTCCAGTTAAAAGGCACTTTCCTGTTTTATGCCTGCAGATGATTACTGTCAGGGATGAAAGGCAGACACCTCCTGGGTGGAGCGGAACAGAGCAAAACCAAACCAGGGCTTAGGGCAACAAATGTCCTGTCAGGTCTTAGTCCCTCTCATTTAGGATGAAAGCTTTTCAAGAACATGAGCAGTAGCTACGTGTTTTAATCCTGTTGAGATGTTCTAAGCAAGCGCTAGCATTTTGTCTGAGCAAGATGGCAGTAGTTGGGAGTTCAGCTGAAGGGAGGTAAGGTGAAAGAATAGAGTACCAGACTAAGGCTAAATGGGCCAGAACAGGTACAAGGTTTTCCATTTCGATTCCCCAACAGTGAAAAATGTTAACTGTCCCTTCAATTTTAAACACTGATCTCAGGTAATTCCCATAACCTTTGTTATCACCCTTAAAGCAACTCTTATTGTGCCAAATTCAACCAGTATCTCTGTTGTACCTCTGCAAATATTAAGGAAGGGCATAGTGTTAATGGCCTTTGTTCTATGAGAGCACATGCAATTCTGCCAGTGTTTCAGTGCCCTTTTGTAGGCTCAGCACTAAGCACCTCTTTCTGGTCTGCAGTGTGGGAAAGGCTTGGCAGGATACTGGCACAGTGATCCACCCGGTGACACTGATAAAACCAGAAACAACATCCAGGCCTTTGAGAAGCTTGTGTTAGCAACAGCAATAGGAAGAAAAGGATCCTTCTACCATGAATACTTGTTTATTTTTCTTCATCACATTTACAGTGTTTAAGAGACTCTACATGGGAAAAGAAATGTTACCATCAGCTTCATAAACATGCCCTTAAAAGATAAAGTTAAGATTTGAAAGAAGACATGAGGTCCATAGACAAAATTGCTCCTCAGCTTCAAACCTCTAATTAGGTGCATAGAAACTGCTGCTGTTTGTACAAACTTGGTGACGGCACTTGCAAATAGGCAGCCAGGGGAATTTTGTATTTGGAATATTTTTGAGGGTGATTGTGCTTGCTGTGGAACATATGCAATACCTGTTTTTATGCCCAGTCTTTGTTTTTCCTTTATTTTAAACAACAACAACAACAACAAAACAAAAAAACTACAAACCACCACCAGGATCATTAGCATCTTGGTTCTTCTCCTCTGTTCTGTGTCCATCCCAGCAGTGCAGACTGGAATTGAACTGGTTTTTCTGTGGGCTGGCACAATTTACATAAGAAATCACTTACTGCAACGCTAATGAGCAAGCAGCGCAAGGCTTGACAGTTTGTGTCTGTTAGCAGAAATATCACAAGAAAAGTTGGGAAGGGATAGTGAACGGTGACGGCGGGGAGCTCATCAGCTGTCAGCTGTCTAATCGCGGTCCCAATAGCATTGGCATGAACTTTGTTACTGATTTAGTGAGAGGTGAAGGTAAACCACATTGTTCAGAAGATCCCATCCTTTCACTGTGGTCTAACAAATGTTGCTTTGACATATTAAAAGCTTTTCATAGTTCTCTTTGCTGAGATTGCATTGCTTGTGCTAATAGCTGCTTTTGTTCAGAATGTGCACATGTAACTGAGGCCTTCCTGGTGTGCCTGGAGTAGAGTTTAAACACACTGTTCACATTTGCATCTTCTTCTCTGTTAAAACCCCATATCTGGTTTCGCCTGGTTCTAAAGTATGCATAAGCAGTGTTCACAGTTCACCTATTTCATCTTCGGGGTGCATGAAGGCCACGTTTGGTTGCAGAGAGCGTCGCGTAAAGCTTCTGTACACTAAATCCCGAGTGGGAGTAAGTTGAGTGTTGCCACTGACAGAACTCTGAGCTTTACCGTCTCACACTGATGTTGCACAACAGTCTCTAAATGATTCTCACTCGTACATCCCAAGGGATTGCGCTACGGTTAAACACAGTGATTCAACATCCCTGGTCTCGCTGGTGCTGGGGAGATGCTCTACATGCAGAATGGTAAACTTGCAGCAAACCAAGGCAGCTCATGTTTTCTTGGGAGGAGCCGATCAAGAGCAAGCATTATCTCCATCAGGTGTTCCCAGCTTTAATGAAGGGTGAAAGCCTTTCGGCCCCTTGCTCAAATTTCATCACAACCATCCCTGGTCTCGGCTCTCAGTGTGTGAGCCACTCTGGAGGGAGCTCTTTGGAAAGCAGCCAGCTGGTCTGCCAGCAGATTGGATCCAGTTGCATCAGCATGGGAGCAGGAATGCTCCTGGGCTGGCGGGACCAGTTCTGACTGGTTTTCCCAAAGCTCCTCCCACAGGAGCTTCTGCAAGGATATCCACTTCCCTCACCAAAAGCATCTCACTGGGTGATCCGCGGATCCTGAAAGTGGAACAGCTGTTACCTGGCAAAACAAGTGAAGGGATTAACCCTCCCCTGGGCTCCAGGCCTGGTGACAGAGAGAAATAGTAGGTAAAACAGCACTAAAAGTGCTACCGAAACATGCTGTCTTTCACTGTCATAGCTACAGAGCTATCACGGCCAAACATCTACCAAAACAAAGACAAGCCAGGCCCTTGTTTAGTGGAAGATGAAATCAATTGGTCTGTGCTGATTAACTGCTGATGACACAGATAACTTTATGGAAGGCACTGTAGCCTTTCAGAAAGGATGTCTCAGACTGGCTGCTGTTTGTAAGGTTATCAACACAAATGACTTCACTGTGAACCTTTCCATCACAGATGGTGCATCAAGGAGGTTGTAGATTTGGGTCTTTTTGTTGGCAGTGTTTCAATGTGAATCTTTGGAGAATCTTGAAACTTTTCGTATTTTGTATGCTTGTGCATCAGATCTAAATATCTACAGGTGCCTGGTGCTGCGGAGGACTAGACTAAGCAGTCCCTTCGGGCTTAGTCCCTGGAGGTGCCTAATGGGGTATTGCACCAAGGACAGGCATGGCCTGAGAACCTAAAGTTTCACATACCTATTCTGAGCGAGGACATTTACAGCCCCTGGAGACAGATGGGATCAACTTCAGTGTATGAATTGAATATTGCCCTAAAGACTGAGAAACTCGCAAAAATAACAGGGCTTACTTTATTTCTTCTCCTGATTTTTAGGGCCAGTGTGATGATTTGGAGACCCGACTGCGAACCGAAACATGACTTAAGCTGAGAGCCCGATACCATGTGTGAGGAGCAATCTTCGACCTCAGTGGGTAAGTCTCCAACCAGGCAGCATGGGAGCGTGATACGGGCAGGCATGTGCCAGCCCAGCTGATCTCGGGTACTCTGCTGGGAAGTAGGACAGGCAGCAGACAAACCCTCGGGCCTGTTTATGAAATATTCCCCTGCCGTAGCTACCAAAGCGAAGAGCAGGGAGTCCCACAGTTACTGGGGAGGAGGAAGCAGAGGTGAGGAGAGGCCGTTTGCTGCCGATGCCGCGACCTATGCAAAAAGAAGCCCGACGATTGCTCCTTCCCCCTCCACCTCGCTAATTACTATTGGAAAAGCTGTCTCCAATGCAAAGCATCTGGGATGACTTTGTCGTGTGGGGAACTTTGATTAAACAGATGGTATCACCCATGAGCACTGGTAAGCAGACGGTGACCTTGTACATATCTTGGGGTGAAACAGGATATGCCATGCAGGAGAATGCTTTGCATTGCCTTGCTGTGCCCACACGCCTTCTGCCCTGACCTGGTGTGGCATGTCTGCCTGGCCTCCCAAAGGACACGCACAGCCCACAGATACACTGCTCTGGCTCGCGTGGCTAATTGCAGCTCAGAAGCCTGGCCAGTGTGATTGGGGCCACCGAGCACAAATGACAGGGTAGTGGGCACAAGAGAGCCACTGGAAGGTTTTTTCTTCACTGCACTACACTGGCAGGTAGGAGTCATCCTGTCTGAGTATAGCACCCAGGTACTTGTTGTTCCTCCTGACTGTAGTTTATGTCCTGTGCGGTATCCCTGTGTGTGTGAATAGCTCTTCCTTCTCCTACACGTATCCTTCCGAGCTGTGGGCTGCAGTGTGTTTCCCTAGGAACCCCAGCACTTTACTTGACCATTGCCTCGTGCTTCTGCAAGCTCCTCAGATGCTAATGTAATTTATAACGTCCAGTGGGTAAACCAGGATTGACATGTTCTTGGTGAGGTGTCTTAGACTGATCAACTTGTTTACTGAGCCTTTAAGGCTCTTCCAACAAAATCAGAAAATACCAGGAGCCCAAGAGTTAGTCTGGAGATTTCATACTACTCTGCACAGCCTCACAGAAAGGTTTCCTTCCTCCTCTAGCTAGGCTGGAGGGAGTCAAATTCTCCGTTAGTGAGGTGCCTGAAATACAAATCTCCTTCTTCTCCACCTCCCAGCTGATGAGGTGTAAGCTGCAACTTACAAAGGGGGCACTGAGCCAGCCTTGGTGGAAAGCCAGCCTCCCTTTTTATTCTGGCTTCCTGATGCAATCTCACACCTGCCTCCCAGTGCTGGTGCAACCAAAGTGTGGCTGCCTGCGCTCGCTGCTGATTCCAAGTCATAGCAGCTACACCCATGAGCAATTCCAGGGGGCAGAATTTAGCCCCCGGAAGAGGGGGCCCTGCTGAAGTTCTCACGCGAAGTCAGACCCTTCTCAGAAGTGTCTCTTGCAGCCCCGTAGGATTTTTGGTGAGTCACCGGAAAACAGGAGGCAACGAGAATGTGCCGTGAGAAATGCCATGTAGTCATTTATTCCCAGCCTTCCGTTGTGGGTTTGTTTCTCTCAGTGCTACCAGGACAATGTGTGGAGTCTCTGTAACTGGTTCTCACCCATCCACTATTTCAGGATCTAGGTGTATCTCCTTAGTAGCAAAAATTTATATAGGTTAATTCCCACACTCCCAATGAATGAATCATTAAGGGAACAAAGAAAGGTGCCTCCTTTAAAGTATCTCTGCCACCTGCATTATGAACATACGCCCAGGTTTACCTGTGCATATTTAACCCCTTATCAGAGCAAATAAGTGACAGTCAGCTAGAGCACTGGCTGCACCTCTGACACGGACAGCAGGAGGAAACACGTTCCTGCACTTGAAAGTGATGTGCAAAACACAAAAGAACACTGAAAGATAAAATAACATAAAATAATAATAATTAAAAAAATATATATGTAGGATTCATCTAAGTGTGCAGCTAGATCTGGCTGGAGGTATGTCCCACCTCCCATAGCCTTAGATGTCCAGGGGCATTGAGGAGGAGCGATACCTCACAGAAACGCTCAGTGTCTGGCAAAACCGAGCAGGAAGAGCGTACCTCCCACCTGGAAAGCCTGCGAGCCTCCGTGCTAGTAACTGATGAGCAGCTGGAGCAGAGAGGCTGCCAGATGAAGCCAAAGGATGCAGCAGCTTCCAGCAGCAAATTGTTTCTTCCTGAATGCAAGTAGGAACAGCGTGCCCTTCAGTTGAGAACTGCAGATTGCCCTCAATTGCAAGGGGGGAGTAGGGGGACAGCTCTGTCTCCTGTGTGTTTTTCCCACTTGGTTGGGTTGTCAGTATAGTCTTGCAAAGAGGTGTGCCCCAAGGATGTGAAAGGAGATAAGCCACCAAACTGTATTAGCACATGAAAGAAAAAACAGTGGGAGCTTCCAAAGGATGGCAAAGTTTCAAAACCTGCTCACAGAAGCACATAGTTGTGGATGATTACTGCAGCACACTCCTCCAGCCGGAGGTGTGGCCATATAGTGTGAGATGAGAACGTAGCAGGTAAGTGAGTAATGCCAGTGCCATTCTTAGTAAGGAAGCCTATTTTTAGTACGGATTGGCTTGGAATATGAATGGCTTTAAAATCAAAGAGCCAGTGAAAGGAGAACTGCAGCGAAAGGTGCTGAATGCAGAGATACAGGTACAGCTTCCCTCTGAAGATGACCCCAAGACACAGGGTGGCAGAAACTAGGGGCAGACTCAGGCCCAGCACGCTTCCTTTTGGGTGATGTTAGAGGTGGGGTCCTGGACTTTTCTTCTGAGCCCTGTGCACTGCGACTGTGCAGTGAAGCGTGGTGCAGCAGGGAACAGCTGGGGAGACACAGGGACAACAAGAAGTCAGGCAGCAAACCATTGCAAAAGGTGGCTTAGTGTTCTCATGTTGCATCTTGTTTGCCTCCAAAAGAAATAGGACAGAAAGCCCATCTTTTGTTTCCATCAGGGAACTAAACACAGGGAGGAACAGCGCTGTAGTAAAATTTTCCAAAGCACCCAATGCTGGACACTGCAAAGGGTTCAGTTGCCTGTTACCTGCTGGCTCTAAAGGGAAGATAGTGCCTGGCTCCTTCTGCATCCCAACTGACTTGGAAGGTTACATCACGCAGGAACAGTGCCTAGTGCTGCTGTCAAACGATTGACAGTGCTTGGATACTTGTGAGCAAATTATTGTCCTTTGGGTTCTGAGTCTTTCACAGGTTGCCCAGTCTGGGGGGCCAATGAGGCGTTTGCCAACACATGCTGTGTTATAACAGCCACAGTCTGTAAGGCCCGGCTTTTTCAAGGCAGGAAAGAAACTGAGGGGAGTGGTGTGACAGTTTCCTTCTTTCTCTGGGAGATTTGCCTCGGAAAGGCTTTGATGTTTCTTGTGTCCTGTAGGTGATGGCTGGAAGGCTTCAGCTGCCTGTATTGATCCAGCAACAGTTAGAGCTGAGGCTGCCGAGTCATTATTGCCATGCAAATCCTGTATGTGTGGAAAGGATTGTCATCACATGCTTTGCAGAGGTGCAATGCCGTTAGTCATATTTGTCTGAAATGTGCCTTCACAGGCACATCTGGAGCAGGACAGCTCCAGATACTTTGTGCAAGTGCAGACTTCCTGTGGCTGTGGCAGGATCCCAAGTTAACCAGAGCTTTGAGGTTGGTCTGCCTAGGCCTTCTCCATATCACCAGCTCTCCAAAGAAGACCATCAAGGCTTTAAAACTCCAAAGTTGATTATATTAGAACAAAAAACTGGAATAATTCACTTCTTAAGTAGAACCGAAGGGCAGGTTGAAAACAAGAGCTCCCCCTGCACATACCCACAACCCTTATGTCCTTGCAGGAGCTCATTTTTTGTCTGCATTGCAGGAAACTGCACAGTTCCTTCTGTCCCTTAGGAAAAGGAAAACCTTTATCTTATCATTGGGGTCCAGCTGTGAGTCCACTCGTCTGAGCAGTCTCCCATTTTTAAAGAGCTTCACACAGAGAAGAGAGCCACACAAGTGGAACAGATACTGTCTCTCTCCATGACTCAGAAATGGATCGTCTGGCTGACGGTCTGTATGTGGGTTGCAGACACGGCTGTGATCTCTGGAGATCTAGTACTCTGACTCATGTGTAGGACATTCAGAAATCCTGAGAAAATATCCAGAGGCCTCACATTCTATCAGGACACCATTTCCCAGCAGAAAAGGAGGAACAAAATAGGGAAACGTGTGTAATTTGTGGGACCTGCTGTGTCTTGCCACTTTGATTCACTCAGTTACCAGACATAGAGGTGGCTTTGCCCTTCTGGTTCTTCACAGGCCTTTAGTCGAAATAGCAAACATAAAAAACCTCTCTCCATTGTTGTATCACCATGTCTGAGATCCAGCACACCTTTGGAAATGGATTTTGCTTGAGGAGCAGCTACTCAGATGTCAAAGAGGGATTTACAAGGTGGTTGTGAACAGCTCTGGAAAGCCTCTGGTGGAGAGGGAGTGGCTTGGAGGCCTCTTGTTTGTTTTTTCCTTTTCTGTACATGATTTGAGGCACCACATGGGATTTCTCTCCTTTTCTAATCAGTGGGCTGTGGGGCAAAGCTAGGAAGATAAGTCTGATGTGGAGTTTGTCAACTTCGAGCTGGACAGTGAGGAACTGCCTGTCGTTAGTATATATGGCAAGAGGTACTGGAGTTCACGTGAGAAGGTGCGGGTATGCAGAACACCGGCTGTGATCTGCAGGCTTGTGTGTTTGTTTTAGAGGTAAAGAAACTCAATTTAATGCTTCAAGAGCTCTCTTTTGGTTAATGTACAGTCTTCCATGGGGAGGCTGTGCAGGGTAAGTTCTGCCGTAGGATCAGCAAACAGGATTATTGGGAAAGTGCCCAGCTGCTAATCTCTGACCATGATTGCAGGTGGGAGGTATGTCAGGGAGCAGGCTGTTTTTCTTTCTTCTGGTCAGAACATCTGTATGGTAGATCTATGAAATTGGTCCAGGAATAAAGCAACGCAGAAATGTCTAACACTAC